TGTTAGTCTGTGGTAGCAAAACATCTGGAGGAGTCTGATAGCTCCTTTTCCAACTAAATTTGTACCTTATGCCTTTTAATGACATGTGTAAGTCTAGAGATCCATCCATTGGGGTAAACTTCCTTTATTCTGTCCCCAGGTGGCTGAGAATGGAAGTTCCCTTGCTTTAATATGCCACATTGCCCTCATCGTAGCATGACCAGTCTGGAAAATACAATATATCAGTTCTCAGGGCCAGTTTGCACCCAAAGCACCCATTTTCGTGAGAAGCCCTCCAACCAGTTCTGTTTCCCTGGTTTGTGAGATGACCTGGTTTGAACAAAATTGCAAATATGTACACAAATAAACTCCCCATGGCTTAGCACACACAGCAAAACCATCAGGTGGAACCTTGGGCCATACAATCATGCTTACATCTATTTCATTTTTATCTTGCTTTTCTTCCTTCCACCCCATTTTTTCCTCACGGTAACCTGTGTGAATACAGAATAAGCTAACCATGATTTAACTCTATGAAAACCCATGATGCATTTATTCTTTGGCCTATCACACTCTAAAAATATATAATCCTTTCCAGCATCCAATTATATTGTTTGCATAAGCCGGCCTAAATCTCTTAAAGCGTACAGTAAGCAGATAATACAATACGTACAAGTGTGAACTAGTCTACCTCCTCCCTTCTCCTATTCCAGTTGAGTTTTATTCTTTCTATCAGTATGTTAATCAGGGACATCTGCAGGGGGTCAAAAAAGTCAAGATGACAGGCTTTAGATTGCACAAATGAGGCCACCATCTTGACTTTTTTGACCCTCCTTCATGCCCCTGCTGTAAATCTTAATAGCTTTGCTCTTATAATTATACTCCACAACTATTTCAAGGAAGAACTTTGTGTATCTTAAGAATTTGCTTCTGCATTTTAAATACCATCTGGCCCCATAAATATTATGTAAACTTATAATTAGGTTTACATAGATGTAATGTATATATTATGCCACAATAATATTTTTTTAAAAAATCATTGCAAGGCAAGCTGGTTTCATCAATGTACATAAAACTTTCAATGTGTTGTGTTGAGATACTAATAAAACATGGAAACTGGGAAGAGGAAAACTAAGATGTCTTTAGATCTGTGCATCAAGACTTTCAAGACGTCAAGACTTTTTTAAAATATCCCAAACCAAATTTAATTCTGAAAAGGCATCCAAACAGCTTACAGCTATCCCTGAATTGGGGAAGATAACAACTCCAGTGATTCTTAAGACTGGAGATCAGATTCAAATTGCCACTTACCTATTAAATTAATTGAGTTCCCATATGGTGCTAAAGTTAAAGATGGAGTTTAGTTTTTGGTTTTGCATGTGGTGCATTGTATGAGTTCCCCCCACCCATTGCTAATAAATCATGGTTTATAGTTTAATACAACATGTAAACCCAGTCAGTTGTGGCTTCCTGAACAAACCAGATTTACTATGGTACATGGACCCAATAATTGAATGATTAGGGTCATTTTCACAAGGAACTCTTTCAGTTTAATCTTCAGGGTTAGAGGATTAAAAAAGGGGGCAGTGAGGAGCACTATATATAACCCCAGGAATATCTTGAAGAAAAAGGAGGAGGAACACTAAAACCAGAGTTTCTCAACCTCAGCAATTTTAAGATGTTCCTCAACCTTGGGAACTTTAAGAGGTGTGGACTTCAACTCCCAGAATTCTCCAGCCAGCATGGGTTTTAAGATGTGTGGACTTCAACTCCCAGAATTCCCCA